GTATATAGACTCATTCATCAGTAAAAAGTGAGCATAATCTTTTTATATAACTTAAATATAGTGTTTAAATGTTTAATGTGCCTGATGATATAAAATATTTTACTAATAGTAAAACGTCATTAAAAAATACAAATTGTTGTCAATTTATATACCATTATAAAACATATTCTAATATATAATGAACATGTTAGTGGACTCCATTATCTTATTGAATATTAAATGAAAATGAATTATTCTAGGTACAATAGTACATTATAATTTTATCTCAATATTATACTGTCAACTATCATCAATGTGACTATTAAACTATAAAATTGCTACCTATGAGCATCTTATTATTTATGATTTTAAACCACTTTATACATTTTGTCTTTATATTTTTTTAATTTCTGATGATACACTGATATATATATTTTATCTTTCTATCTCCCAATGTTAATGATCAATGGCATATTGCCATAATAATTCATAAGTAACAATAGTTATAGTTTGTTTAGTGTCGTTACTCGTTGGTGGTGTATTGTATTGAGTTACTCCGACTAACAGGTATATAGTTGATTATAATAAACTTTAAAAAGTATTTCGAAGTTTATTTTTATCTCAACAGGTACTAGGTGAACAGAAAAGATTAGTAAGAAATAATAATTATATAGGTTGTCTTAATTGTAATCTATAAAATTATCGGTAGTACATCCATCTATTCAATAATATTATTTTATTTTGATAATTTCATTTGAATTATAAAATTATTTATTTCATGTATAATTCCTGAATTGACTCAAATTTATATTGTAGATAAAATTTGTTTTAAGTATAATTCATATTATAAGATAGCTTAGGAATTGTTAAAAATGTCAAGAACTTATAACAATTTATTATGGTGTATAATGGACAATAAATATATACACTTAATTTTACGTATTAATTAAACGTATGATTTTTTCTTTGTTCGTATTAATATCCCATTGTTATGTAACAATAACAATAGATAACTCGAAATTATTATTTTTCGCCTCGATAAATGCGGTCAGTCAAAGCAATAATGATATTTTTTACGTTGGTTTCAAATCGTTTCTAAAACCCGATCTTAGACGTTTCGAACAGTTGGTGGTCCTTTCATGAACAATTAAAAAATTATTAACATGTGTGCATATTACTATATTGAAATAACATAAACCTTAGCATCACGCTTATGGAACGAATTCAAACAATAGTGCTGTACAATAATAATAGTACATAATATAGATAATACACGCGACGTACACATTACAGTATAACATGAGAAAGAAATAATAAGGCAGGTAATTAGAAATAATAATATATTACTAAATATTATGATGTCTTCGGTCTTATCGTTGTTTGTCACAGACCCACGCACTTTATAGCAGGTTTCAACACGATAAGTTTATGGCAAGCATGCTGAAATTTAGCAAATTAAACTGACATTCAATTAAAATACGATTTCAATTTGGCCAAGTGCGTGTAAAATGTTGGCCAATCGAGTAATTTTTATACATATTCGCGTTTGCTCCATTTAACAATGTTTAAACAAAGAACTTTGAATTATCCACTCAATTAATCCAGATTAAAAAACCATCTAAAAAACAATCGCTTAACCCTTTCACGCAAAACTGTCGACTTCACACAGCATTCCAGCCATAAATGAGGGAGTGCCCATTGTCGGATACGAAAACTTCGCACATGCCCTGCACGCGTGGTGGTTGTTTTTGATTTATAATATTATTTCCTACAATACTTTCGCGAATAAAATTGTTTTTCTTCGTGAACTCAAAAACAACGAGGGTGCGGTAATGTGTGTATTAATAATTATTTATAAAAAAAAAAATCACCCCAAATGGTCCATAAATTAATGGTTATATTAATAAATAATATATCACGATAGAATATACTGAAGATATAATGGTCCGAAATATGATTGTTACTAAACTGTTTTAGAACGTTTCGAAATATTCTTATTGGCAGCAGAAAATCGCCATGCAGTAGAGGCCGGTGGTCTGTCATCAAATCATTTCAGTTATTATGGTTTTTGCGAAATCCGCTGTGAGGTGTCTGCACCGTCGGATTTGTCTCCGTCCCTCTTCGCCCTACAGAGGACATCGCTATGCATCAGTTCCGCGACCAAAACTATTTTCCCGCCACCATTACGCTGCATTTTTATTCTAGTAGTATAATATTATAATAATCAAAATAATAAATATAATATGATATTGTGTAGGTACACCGCAGCGCATGTCTATATGATATTACAATCGCCACGGACGATCTCCGCTTCCCGCGAAAAAGAGTCGTCGCGAGCGGGGGACGTCCCTCGTTCGACGCAGCCACCGCCGCCGCTCGTTCAGCTATCGCGTCCGCCCATCGTCCGTCGTTCTACAGAGCAACAGTCACGTTTACAATGTGTGTGTGTGTGTGTGTGTGTGTAGGTGTGTGTGGTGTGTACGTATCATAGAGACACGACTGTCGCCGCCGCACCTCCCCGGCGGGGCCGGCGCACTCGTCAGCCGTTCGATCTTATCTATTTATATCCTGTCATCCCTCTTGTACGTACAACTGATGATTATTATTATGTGCGTGTACGCGAGCGAATCGTGTGCGCTTTAGATACGGAACGGGCGCGATCTGCAGGCCCAGGTTTTTTTTTCCGGCTCGTCTATCTTCCCGCGCGTTGTTGTATTTTTTTTTTTTTTCCCCGAAGGGATGATAATATTATATTATCACGTGTGCGGTAGTCGCGCGACGCATCAGTCACGCACGCGACGAGATAGGGGAGTGCTGCCACGCCGCAGCAGTCTATATATCTTCGAATAAAACATATTATTTTATATTATAATATAATAATGTACGACCGCGGGACCAGTAAAACGGGTGAGACCGATGAGACGCACGCTCGGGCACACAGATAACATCGTAATAATATATATGATTTTCGTGTGTACATGTGCTCGATGTACCGACCGCGACGCTGCAGCTGCTGCGGAAAAACGCTCGTGGATCCGCGGGATTTTCCAATCGACGAGCTCGCCTTGTGTGTTCTATTATACTTAGTGACCTTAGACTGTGTGGGGAGGGTCTTACGGGAACCGCCGACGACCCACCCCATTATATTCTTGAGAATTTGCAGCAAATCAATTGTATAACACTTATCGACATTGAAAAGAATTTCTATTTAGTTGGAGAGTTGTATCAATGTGGAATGTCTCTGTTGGCCTATGATGACATACCTCTGGTGGCTGAAGTGAACGGTGGAAGTACGTACCTATATGCGGTGAAAATTAGGACTCGAGTGATTCAGGCATCATGAGTATATTTCCTACGATTTAATGCACCCGATGTACGCGTGAAAACTAAAAACAGTGATATATTATATCATACACCTATATTATATTATTATAGGTGTGAGTTCACCATTTACCCTCTTGGAAGTCTGCTGTTACTTTAAAATTTAAATCCCTCTGAGATTTTCTTCTTTAGGTGACTATTAAAAATGTAAATAATGTCATTTTAATTCAAGGACACGGAAAGGGGTCGAGGATTCGAGATTCGTGTTGCTGGCATATGTATATGACATACAACAGAATAATATTTCCTATTACTGAACGTCGTAGCGACAATCGCATTCAACTCGTGCAAAGAAATACCTACGTATTACATTTTATAGGCGCCGGAGAAAGTCAGCGGACCGTGCGAGTTATAATAATTGCCGTACAGCCACCGTTTATGATGATATTATTATTATTATTATTAGGTATTTTTATTGTCGCATTACCTTAGCGTATCTGTTTGGTCCGCCAACGGACGTCGACAATAATAATTGGTCTGCACAGAGGAGCGATTAGATCCGGGATAATAAACGTATTATAGGTACAGTGATGACGCCTTGTACAGCTGATGATCGAGTCGATAGGTAGTTGTTTGCACTACGAGTGTGTGCACTTAAATGTCGTTTGTGGAGTTTTCATTGTGTGTGTGTGTGTGTGTGTGTGTGTGTGTGTGTGTTGTACTGCTGTGTACTTGTATCGTTTGTCTTCTTTTCAATACCACAATGTATAATATACCTATATTATTATCACACATTTACACGTGCATCTCCACATTAGACCTTGGTAATAACGTTGTGTACAATTGCGATTGTGATGTATATAATAGGAAGTCAAACACATAATAATAATATAATGACACTATTTGTTTGTTATTTTTTTTTCCCCGTGAACTATCTCTGATTAGTGATTATATTATACGTTCAAAAGCCAATAATTACCCTCCCCCCACGATGGGGGTAATATCGGTATACTTTTAGATTACGAACGGAGCGAGTATACTCTATAGTGTAACTGTGTTGGTTTTACTGCAACGGTGAAGGGTTTGAACTCCCGGAAATTCTCGACAACGTTTCCATTATATCCCTGATAGCGGGAATATTTCTGAGAACTCCCTGTGAGTCGAGTAAATGGGATCGTTACGGCATGGAATTCGAACAAAATAAAAACGTATATTTTTATGTGTACATTTGTATTATATATTGCTTATTATAATAGAGTAACGGTGTACATGACAAAATAAAAATTACATTCATCAAATCAAGTCTTAGTCGTTCAAATATTATATATTATAATTATTTAACTAATATTGTTAAGCTGATTTGGTACCCCACACGCTTAGGTATTTACTTAATTTTTAAGACAGCAGGTAACTACAAATCTATAAAACTACAACACGGTATAACTGCACATTAATTGTAATTTTGTTGTAAAACAATAAGGATCTAGGACATTTTGGCGTGGCCGTTTTGGCGCGAAGCCATTTTGGCGTGGCCGTTTTGGCGCGAAGCCATTTTTGACGGAGTTAAAGACTTCTTTTTATTTTTTTAAAATTATTATTTATTTAATTTAAAAAACTCAAACATTTAAAAAAATTCTATTAATTAAAAAATACAATCGATAGCTGATAATAGAGCTGAAAAACTTACTAAAAAAATATTATTATTGTAAAGAAATATTATGTGCTACACCTCTTAAATAGGTTAAAATGTCTCGAGTATCTGATTCTTGTACTATTTTTAGCAGTCTCTTGTCTGTGTCAATATATTTTTTGAGCTTTTTAGGGGGACTTCTTCCTGATTCCAATTGAAATAAATATGTATCCCTTCCAGCTTGAATTTTTCTTAAGCAAGTTATAAATGACCATAATGTAGGATGGACCATTCCCATTTCAACATTTATTCTTCGGTTGGCTGCCTCTGCATGATTATTTGTTCTGTGTATACCATTTAATACTCGCTCGTTTAAATTCCAAATTGATGGTGGAAATCTAGCGGGTCTCCGTCCATTTCGATTTAATCTTCCGACATAATTATCTTCAAACCATTCAAGCAGGGGTTGAAGTTCTTCTGGTAAATTTTCAGCTAACGCGTCGATTGCTATGTCAATTTTGTTGATGCAAACAAATGCAATTGCAATTATCATTTTAACAGAAATAGAAAAATCTGCATCGTTATTATATTTTGATATAAGATGTAGTTCACCAATTTTTTTTTTGAAATTTTTTGTGACATGAAAAAAACAACCATGAATAATAATATTTGGGAAATTTTTTTTCACTGCATTTATAGCAGCTAATTCATAGTCTAATGAAATAGATGTAGGACATAATTCAGGACATAAATTTATCAACATTTGAAACAGTTTTTCATACGTTTTTGTAAATTTATCAGGCAGTAATGCATATATAATAGGGTGTACACCATTTAAATATTCAGCTAGTATAACGTACACTTGAGTAAAAAGTGGAGGTGAAATTTTAAAAGTCCCATCTCCTAACCATGTTTTAGAATTTCGTAAAATATCCAAATATCGACGTCTTCCAAAAATTAAAATTCTTTCTGTCCCAGGCCCACTATCAGCTAATAAAAATTGTTCTACGTGTCCTTCAGATGGTGAATACATTTTATACACGTCGGGTATTTCTAGAGTTGTGAGATCCTTAGGTGCTTCAGGTACGCCAAAACGGCTACGCCAAATTAGTTTCACGCCAAAACGGACCCGCCAAAACGGCCACGCCAAAACGGCCACGCCAAAATGTCCCATTCAACAGCAATGCTAATAATATAAGCACTACCTAAGTGGATATATAATTTACGATGCAGTAATGAATAATTAATTACAAATTTTTATCTCATCCCTCATTTCCACTTTATGTTGTATTTGCATCTTATAATTTATCTTGTGCTTATCTTATGTTGATCAAAAATCATGACATCTAATCGAAATATATCAATTGATTATAGAAATCACGATTATTAATAATTGGTAATTAACTCCTCTGTATTTTTCGATATTCCCAATAATTTCCAAACATTCTCGTTAAGTTACATCCCCGGAACAATACAGACCTACTGCAGTATGTGGGTGTGTGTGTGTGTGTGTGTGTGTGTGTCAACATTAAAGGTGGTTTCTGATAAAGAATTTATCAATCTGATGTATAACAGTCTAGTTGGTGCTTTGGGGGCTAAAAAATAGAGAAATACCACGTGTGACTATTTACGCAACCCCAACTTTTTATGATAACATCGATTTTGTTTTGCTGTCGGTATTTACGTTCAACTACTGAAAATACATAAATATTATAAATATAATCATATATGTATAACATGAACTATTTTCAGAAGTATATGCTGATTCACCGGCCTCCTTCACTCAGAACAGTTTTTTCGAGTACAATATATGACTATTATCATTGAATTCAAACTTAACATATCCATCCAGTACAGACTGTAGTGACGAGGTACTCTCGAAACCTACTATACAGCAGACACGAATTCCTTCTGTTATGTTTTGTCATAATTTATTATATTATATATTATGCAGTACATACTAATATTGTATTATTTTATTATTATTATACATTTTATTATACATAACATAACTATGTGATATTAAATTTATGTTTAAAACATATATTATATTAAGTAATAAGTACTGAAACATTGAAACAATTGGTATGTACTTACGTAGACTCGTGTATCATGGAAGGACTGAGATTGTCTTGTTGCACGAAAGTAATATCAAAATTCGAAAATTACCGATGGTCACTATTCCTTGTACCTTTAAAATTGACAATATAATATCATAAGCCATGTAAATTAAATATGTATATATTTTTGATTTTTTTTTGACATAATGTCGTTATAGTTGTATGAAATAGGATTGGATCGAGTGGTTTACGTCGTGACGAAACATGTTGGTGTTAATAATATTATAGTTTAATATCATCGTATTATTCAATAAAATTTGTTCCCTCCACAAACACAGATATAAGCCCGCTCCGTTCGTATAACAGGCCAACACAATATTATAATAATCGATCTAGTCCTAAGCACCATGATAAGCGCAGCAGAGCCAAGTACAAAATAAACATTTTTGTTTTTGTATAGCCGTATAGGTACCAACACAAATCAACAAATGAGTATAATATGAGTAATGTATGTGACATAACAGACGTCTGATAATAATAATAACAATAGATACATAATATTTGTGTCGTAATTACTTAATTCTAATATACCTATACTCGTGTGTATAAAGTAGTTTACAGTAAGCAGTAAGTAAGGCTGGGAATTAACGATTTAATAAGTTAAAGTTAAGTTACTTTTAACTAAGTTATTTAACGAGTTACTTTTTTTTTAGAAGTAACTTCTAACCTGAGTTACATTTTTCCCCATGTTATTCAGTAACTTAACGAGTTAATTAATTTTTTGGCCCCTTAAGTTAATTTTTTCCCAAATTTAAAATTATCAAATTCCCAAATTTAAAATTAATTCCATTTTGTAAAATTAATTATATAAAAAAAAAACCCTGAATATTAAATATATTTTAGTAAATAATAGTTTATAATAATAGTAAGTTATTATATTGCATATTCACAGAAAATATTATACAACTATATTATAGACGGAAATTTTATAGGGGTAACCGCGTCATTAATAAATGAAAAATATAACAATTTACTCAGTACCTACCCATACACGACATATTATAACATAACGGTTAACCTATATAATCATTATTAATATTATTACTTATTATATTTGTATTTATTTTTTAAATGTTATTCATAACTTGCTTATAATTATAATAATAATACCTGAGACATATTTTTAACTATTGTGTTAACTGTTAAGACGTGATAACCAATTAGATTTCAAGACCCTCCAATATATTAATGTAAAACATTCATGTTATATATTAAAAGCAAATTATAATAAAAAAACTTCCTAAAAGTACTTATTTAACAAAGATTTCTATAACAATAGGAGTAAAGGTGCTATTGTGCCTAACCACAACTGTTACATCAATATTGTATTATTACAAATTTCACAATGCATTCATTGAAGAATTTATATCGATTACCGTATAACTGCTAACTAGTTTTTAATTATTCAAAACTTATTTTCATTTTTAAAGAATATAATACTAAAAAAATATCATATATTATGTATACTTGCTATATTATAGAGCGGAAAAAATATACTTGGTAAATATTGTGTTTCATTCAATTGTTTATTTTGCAAAACGACTGACTATTGTGCGACTATATAATACTACATAATATCGAACACGTAAATACTTCGTTTAATATTATTACAATTTACGTTCATTAATATTGTAACTTTTATGCGGTATTCGGATTATGCATTAATAATAAAAAAAAAAATTACATTTTACTCTCACGGTTTCCAATTTTTATCGAAATATAAAAGCTATATTTTGGCAATACTTGTATGCAAGTGTTGTGGAAATAATACGCGTGTTTCGAAGTGCTTTTCATTCGAACACATACACCTACACAATAATACATGTCCGAAATAATAAGGAAAACCGAATTGAAAAATACAAGAAATAATAATATAGTAGTATATTATAGGTCCCGTATTCGAATTGATTATCATTCAATCTTCGAGCCATACGATTTAAATAAACCGACTAGAATCATAAAATGTGCACGGACGTCGTCGCAGGATTATAAATGATAATATTATAAAGAAATATTTAGGAATACGGTTAGCATAAATAATACATTTGTGCATGCGCATTATAGATTTATACGTGCACACTATATACATATATTATAATCATATACCTAACAAAGTGTTCTATATTATGACGTACTGCTGCAGAACTCGTAGCCAAAACTGATTTCCGTTGTGCTCCCGTCAGTTGTATAGGTTTGTATTATTATGAAAGCAGTCGTAAACCGTAATGATCGTCCGACAAACTTTGAAACAGCTTATAACGTCGTTGTCCGTTCAACGTCTTCGGATATATCGTTTTTGCCATATCTACGACTCCTACACGACCATGTCCTTCGTACTTGGTCACACACATACACACACACACACACACACACACACACACACACACACACACCCGATGTGTGTGCAGGAAAGTGGAAATGTATCCACAACGTGTTTTGATGGAATCTAATAATTTTATGATATTCCGAAAAATAAGCGTTTTTCAAGTCCACGGAAATCTCTGGTCTTTCGTACGGCAGGACGTGTCAATACGTCAAGAGGAAGCTATCCATATGCACATTTTGTATTCACTATAGTTTCAATATTGTGCTGTTGTAGTTATGACATTACAGTGAATTATATCGACCTATATTATCAACATTTTGTTTAAGAACACTGTCTGTGCTTGAGCGCCCGGGAATTTTTTCAGATATTTTTGTTTTCACGATATATATCTACATCGATTCTCGCTTGAAAATTAAAAATCGAAAATAAAATCTGATCTGTCGTCAAACGCAGCTGATAATATTGTGCTTACTTAAAAGTTTGATAATAGGTCAATATTACTCTCTGATCTACGCTCTAATATCAAACGATTAATAGCACCACGCTATACTGAAACTAGTGAACGGAAATTTGCCATGTCGCGAGACGGATACAACAAACGCATGCGTATACTTTACTCACTATTATTATACTGTTATTACTTGCTAGTGCTTATTATACTCAACCAATATAATTGCAGACGTGCATATAACAATAATATATTGTATTGTACCTATATGCGGTCTAATTATTATGCAGAGGAGATCGCAGGGTGCACAGTATAGTACCTGCAAACGTGTAAGAAGCGATTTCTGCAATGTCGCGGCAGGTAAGTATACATATTATACCTACACACTCGTTAACCAAAACCGTATCATTATAATAATATAATATTTACGACTACTATACCTACGTATCCCGCACATTTATTCTTTTTGTCCCCGTGAAAATAACGCAGACGGGTCATTAATATTTGTCCCCGCATTAGTCCCTGCATAAGTTGAACGATAAAACCGTATAATATTATGTGCTCTGCCCTAGGAGAAACGCAGGAAAATTAAAATGTTAAAATCCAACGCTCGGTAGGTAGACATATATGTAATATATATACAGGTACCTACATAATAATAATATTCCATAGTAAATGTGTATTATGTTATAAAATATTATACGGACTGCCGCCGCCACAGCCGTTGTTCGTTGGTTTTTCTCTCCTTGTATACATACCCCGACTACGTGACGTGTTTCCCTCGCAACATTAATAATAATTAGCACCGTGCTCATATTATATAATATATATATATATTATATTATTATTTTGTATGTATATTATGTACCGAAGCGTATATGTGTGCCGTGTATTTGTACTCGGGTACGTGTATACGTATAATATTTGATGTTCATATATGTGCCGGACAGGGACGAGAAGCGAGAGAGGAAAAAATAACAAAATAATAGTGCGTACCTATATACAACGTTCGCAGCTAATAACCTGCCGGACAGAGGACCGATACAATAATAATAATAATAAATATGGTCCGAGAGAAACACACACGTAGGTATGTTTACGACGTGTGTGTGTGTGCGTGTGTAGGAAAAATGCAGAGAATTGGACGCGGTTGTCAACGACGTATTTTCTATGGCTCAAGCTTTTTGACGTGTACATTTTATTATTATTATACATACACACACATACACATCCAATCAAAAATGATTCGATCTACTCGTCGCCACCAGTCACCACTCTAC